AATAAACACATACATACATATAAGCGTATTTAAGACAATTCTCTGTCGAACATTAACGAAATGTAATGCATCTAACATTTGATCTATTGGTGTAAATTTACTACATCTAATAATCGCTCGCATCGCTCGGTTTTGCGCTTTTTGTAATAAATTAAGTTCAGTTTCACCAATATTTAAAAAAATTATAGAGCAGTAGTCAAAGTGTGGGGCAATTATATTCTTATAAATAATAGTTCTTGTAAGCGCCGATACAGAGTCTCCAATTCTGAACAAAAAGTTTACTTTTTAGAAATCTTTTTAATTATGTGATTTACATGTTCTCTAAAGTTTAAATGTTTGTCAATCATAACGCCTAAATATTTAATTACATCAATATTTTCAATTTTATCATTTTCAATTTTAATATCACAATTTTTACTTGGCACTGAGGCCCGTACACCTCTTACTAACATAAATTTAGCTTTAGTCACATTTAAACTTATCATATTATTTTTTAACCAAATTGATAAACTATTTAAGTCATAATTAATTTTATTTTTAATTTCAATAGAATCAGAGCTACTGTTCGAGATTAATTTGAATCTCGTTCATTTCATCACCGGCGTGATGGCAGCATCAGCCGGGTCAGATCGTGCAGCGCCGCATGAGCGCTGCTCGCGCATGCCCGATCGCGACACGAGGCGACCGCGCGACTTCACGTACGTTACCGGCCTCTTTGGTCTCATGGCGACCGTACGTAGTACACGCGCTTTGAAGTGCGGATAGTAATCGAGTGCTCTTCTGTGGACTTTCTCATCTTCTCACCTACTCACTTTCTCGCCCTCTCATTCGAGAATAGACTCAGTGAAAAGACATAGTAATCTCTCACCAGTGCGACGCATCCCTGACAGTTCGAGTACAGCATCAACGGCGGCTCAGACTCACCACGCACCGCGCACGCCGGCGCCGCGTGGACACGGCTCACGGGCATCAACTTCATCAGGCCGGCCCTCGATCAATAATATCGATCCGGGCACGTGAATACAGACTTATCATACCGAATTTATTTGTATAGACTTCTCAGATCTCACATTTACCGATTTTACTTTTGCTGAGACTTTCACATGTAATTCGTTAAAGTATTAAACCTGTGACATTTCATTTTACACCTACTCGTCCGAGCCTTTAGATCACGTGATATTCCATCCGAAGTAAGCGTGCATTCGCTCCTTAAGTCTTGTCGCTACGTCCTCTCACCCTGCTTCCATCCGCAGCGGTACCAGCGAACTCTCCTAGCGAGAATCGCTAACATTTTTTGGTCCTTCGAGCCGGATAGCGGCGAGGCTCTCGGACGGACCAGCTCAGACACGCATCGCTCACGTGATCAGCAGCGCTCATATACACAGTGACACTCATCGATCACGTGATACCACGTCTCTCTCACGTGTCATCTCATCATGTCGGACGATCAGAAAACGGGCAAGGCGGACCGCCCGGTGACTCAGCAACTGGAACTGCTGCCGGGAGATCGCTCATCCTCGCCGACGGCGTCTCCGATTCGGCTCTCCACGGAACTCGTCCTGAAGGTGCAGACGCAGCTGGGTCAGATCTCCGCTCTCAAGGCCATCGCAGAGATTCTCCCGGAGTCTCCTGCAGAGATTTCTGTTGAAGAAGTAAATCAGTTCTGGCTTCAAACTGAGGAGACGCAGAAAGCGTTTCTCAAGGAACACACCTACTTCGAGGTCTCATGGCCCTCTGCGCTCACTCATCACGAGCATTTCTCGGGGAACGCTCATCAGGAGGAAACGCTGTGCCACATGCAAGCGCGACGCATCATCGGCGTACTCCGCCACTCACTGACAGCTTCGTCCGCTCAATCAACCTGTGGTTCGTTGGTCACGCCCTCGAACTGAAGAGACGGTGCAATCATCGAGACCCGCTCACACGTCCGCTCATCCTGCTCAACATTACTCGCCACAGCCATGGCACTGATCAGCTCATCCACAACCCATTACTCAACGCGTCTACTCATTGACGCAGGCTCAGAACTCACCTTCGTCACGGAGAATCTCATTCGGCAGCTCAACATCCCTCGTCAATACTCAAGTATTGTCGTCACTGGAATTGCAGGCAAGGAGTGTACTCAGACACGAGGAGTCGTGTCACTTACGTTACGCTCGACACATTCCAACTCAACTGCCACAGTTCAAGCTCATGTCCTCCGGGCAGTTACATCAATCGTATCATATTTCGAAGCAGAACCGGAAGAATGGCCGCATCTCAGAAACTTGGCATTAGCCGATCCAGACTGTCTCATCCCGCGGCCTGTTGACATCCTCATCGGAGCAGATGCTTACGGGCAAATCATCAAGCCCAATATTTCTTTCCAATTAGGCATTCTCCATTCATGCCAATAGCGCAACTCTCCATTTTCGGATGGCTCGTTCTGGGACCAGTCAATAGAGAAGCAATACGCACATCAACGCATTATGCTGCTACTCAAGTCAACGAGGACGCTCTTAATGAGCTATTGACGAAATTTTGGGCTCAAGAGGAGGTGTCTACTCACGATGTCACTCAGTTCACTCCTGACGAGCAGAGATGCGAGGAGCACTTCAAGACTACACACTCTCGTGATTCTTCAGAGAGGTACATCGTCAGGATTCTACTCAACTCACCAGTAGATCTTTTGGGTGACTCTTACAACGTCGCTCATCAATGTCTGAAGGGACTACGCATACGATTCTCAAGGGATGTGAATTATCAACGTCTCTATTAACAATTCATTTTGGATTACGAGACACTCAACCACATGGCGAAGGCATCATCCATCTCCAGTCATCGCTCACATTTCTACCAGCCACATCACGGTGTTCTCAAGCCTGACAGTACTACAACAAAACTGCGGGTCGTTTTTAATGGCTCCAGCGCATCCACATCAGGCTACTCAGTCAACGACCTCATGTACACTGGAGCGAAATTGCATCTGAACATCTCAGATGTTCTACCATGGAAACGTAGACATCGTCACATTTTCGCTACGGACATCACCAAAATGGACAGACCGATTCAGATTCACAAGGATGACTGGGAATTACAGCGGATACTCTGGATGGACAATCAGCTCAATGAGGTGCCATATCATTCAACAACGGTCACCTACGGGACGAAGGTCGCACCATTCTTAGCCGTACGGACCTTGTTACAATTAGCAGAAGACGAAGGACATAGTTTCCCACTGGCTGTGCCAGCTTATCACTCACGGCAGATATGTCGATGACATATTTGGTGGTGCAAATACCGTGCAACAATTACAGGAGGTTGCACCTCAACTAAGGGACCTCTGCATGGCGGGCTGCTTTCCGCTAGCAAAATGGCATGCAACTCATCTCGACATACTCGACATACTGTTAACGACAGCCAAGACCAAGGCTCACAAATCACCTTCGACGATTGCACAACCAAGATAGTCGGACTCAAATGGCTCCCTCAAGAAAATACACTTGCATTCTCAACCAGGAACTCGCGTACTGAAGGCAGACTCACAAAACGCCTCGTCTTATCTGAAGTGGCTCAGATACTCGATCCACTTGGCTTTGCATCACTCGTCGTGATCAAGGCCAAAATTCTCTTGCAGGAGCTGTGGCTGCTCAAGTCATCCAATGGGATGACCCACTGGCGTCCCAGCTCTCAACCCGGTGGCTCATCCTCAGAGAAGAACTCACAGACTTGATCAAGTTCTCAATACCAACGTGGTTCAACACCTGGAGCAACTCTTCTGTGGAACTGCAAGGCTTCTCTGACGCTTCTCAATTGGCAAAGACTGCAGTCGTATACATCTCCGTTCACGACTCAACTGGATCCACGATTTCACTTGTGTGCTCCAAAACTAAGGTAGCACCTCTCAAGCAGCTCTCAATTCCTCGACTTGAACTCACGGCTGCTCTACTGCTCTCTCGACTCATGCAATACGTCAGAGCCACTTTAAACATGGACGTAACGGCAACTCACCTGTGGACGGAATCTCTTGTGACACTTTCATGGATCAGATCTCATGCATCACGCTGGAAGGATTTTGTCAGAAACGGGGTGGCTCAACTTCAAGAACTCACTCCAGCAGCTCACTGGAGATACATACCTGGAACTTCCAACCCGGCTGATTGCGCATCACGAGGCCTCTCGACTGCTCAACTTCAAAGTCAATCACTTTGGTGGACGGGACCACCATGGATACTCAACCCAGACTCATGGCCGTCGCAACCAGCACTCTCCGAAGAGTTGAGTGCAACAGAAGCTCACCCAGGCGTTTCGCTATTGACGGTTACGCCAAGGACTGATTATCGATGGGAACTCATCTACAGGTACTCAAGCCTCACTAAACTATTGAGGATTACAGCTCTCTGTTTTAAATTCGTCTCACGGTTGAGGAAGGTCCACTACTCATTGCCTGTTAGACACATCTCTCCAGAGACCTTGGAGAAAGCGAGGCTCTTCTGGATTCAGGCAACTCAAGCAACGTACTTCTCTCACGAGCTCAAGGCGCTACAAGCAGACTCACCGTTGGCAAAGGCACACGCATTCAACCGATTAACTGCGTACATCGACGCTCAAGGAGTCATTCGCGTCGGCGGACGACTCGCTCACGCAGCTCTTTCATCCGATGCGACACATCCTGTAATGTTGCCTCGTCACTCTCAGCTGTCGTCATTGATCATCGCTTACGCTCGTCAACGGACTCTACATGGAGGCACGCAGCTTACGCTGTCGCACATCCGACAACAATACTGGATTCTCGGCGGAAGGGCTCCTGTCAAGTCTCACATTCTGCGATGTGTCACGTGTGCTCGGCAGAGGAGGATCCGTGCTCATCAACTGATGGGCCAACTACCCTTCTCTCGGGTTACGCAGACACGACCGTTCACTCATACAGGTGTGGACTACGCAGGGCCACTCACCGTCAAAGCCTGGAAAGGAAGAGGTGCCAAGACCACTAAAGACTGGATTTACGTCTTTGTCTGCTTCTCAACTTCAGCAGTACACCTAGAGGCGGTCAGTGACTACTCATTCAAAGGGTTCATTACCGCCTATCGACGCTTCTCATCCAGACGCGGCATTGCTCACACCTCACAATCAAACTGCGGCACCAATTTCATTGGCACGGATACAACTCTCAAAAGGCTGTTTATCCAGAGCACTCAAAAACATCAGCGCATTTCTCAACTGCTCTCGCAAGACAACACCCGATGGGAGTTCAATCCCCTAGCGACACTTCACATGGGAGGAAAATGGGAGGCCGTCGTAAAATCAAAGGTATCATCTACGGCGCACTATTGGAGAAAGCGTGCTCACCTTTGAGGAGCTCACCACATTGCTCACTCAAATTGAGGCAATTCTCAACTCGCGACCTCTCGAACCATTGAGTGACGACTCAGAAGACATCTCAGCACTCACACCAGGTCACTTCCTCGTAGGAAGTCCTCCTCACCGCCAAACCAGAGCCATCACTCACTGTAATTAATAATATTTAATAATAATATTAATAATAATATTAATAATATGTAATTAATAATATTTAATAATAATATTATGTTGAGTATATGTATTAAATTTTCGCGCTTCAACATGCTCGTGTCGTGTCTTACGATGGCACCACTGTACGGGAGACAATTCTCTTTTCGGAGCAATGTCGTGCTTCCGGCGCTCCCGCTCTTGCGCACTTCCTCGCGGAACGTCTGCCTAGTCGCACGTGCTATTTTTCTTGTATTAGAAATACACATTTGTATTACACTCCAAAAAGGACTTCGAGTTTTCATTGAATTGCAATAACCCACTGTGCTCCGCAACAGGTTATGGGCCCAGTGCTCCAGTAAGTAGGATCGGAGTATTTAATTCGG